TCAGGTATTTCTTCCCCTGGAAAAGTCACTGAATTCTTCAAGTTTATGACTTCTACTTTTTAAAAAAAACTTGTTTTCTAATATGATGACCTCCTCTGATAGCACCAAGTCCCCTAGAGGAAACTATACGTAGCTCAAATACCTGTGTTGCCCTTATAACCCTTTTGCTTCTGCAATTAACAATGGGCCAGAGATAATGGGACAAACCTAAGATTTTTCCAATGGGTGCAAGTTTGTATGGATCCCAAAGGATGGTTTCAGGGATGGTGCTAATTATTTTGCTGCTTGTAATTATCTTACCAGCAACTGATATAATCCCAAACATTAATCCTGTGAATCTGTAGAGAACTAGCTGATTTTCCAGAGCTAGTAAAAGCAGAGGCAACAGTTGAACCCAGCTCTGTCTGGTATCCAAACCTAGGCTTTTCTCACCACTTCAACTGACTCAAGACAGTGTTTATCTGATCTGTTATGGAGATGCCTATGTAGGAGTTTCCCACAATTCTTCTATAGGTGTCCTTAGCTATTGGAGCCTCAGAAAATGCATTTTAATGCCACATCTCTCTCCCACTTAGTATTGTGAATGCTTCCTGAAAGAGCCCGTTCTCTCAGCAGCTGGTGATATTTGATTTGATTAACGCCCTGGGACCTATCACCAGACTTAAAGATGATGCCTAATTAATTGCTTCCGTTAAAGAGCTGGCACTTTCTGCATTTGGTTCACACTTCTAGCCTCAATCATGTTTTCATTTCAGCAATAATATTTACATGATTAGCAAATAGTCAGTTCATACTCTGGTGTGGACCTAAGCTGTGTGTGGGACTTCCCAAAGCAGATGTCCTTGACAGGTGTAGAGAAATAGGCTTTTTTTTCATAGCAAGAGCAACAAGCAAGATCTTCTGCTCATTTATCAATGAAGTTATGTTTGGATCAACAAATATTAACTGAGTACTGACCTATTCTAAGTGCCAGTCATTATATTTCCAAGGCCTCCATACACTCTCACTAAATAGTCACATTAGATTTAACTCAGTTTTGTTACCCTTTTTTATTTCTTTCATTATTTATTAATTTTAATGATATTTATTTATTTAGATGGATAGATTAGGAAAAGGCATTCTACATTAGACATTCAAAGTTTTAATAGGAATTTGCAAAGATCTCTCAAGATATTTTCATGTAAAAGTCAAAAATATGTAGCCTTAATGATACTACAATTAAGCAGGTTTGTGATATTCAATGACCCCTAAGATGTGAATGGAGGTTGAAGAAGCACAGAGAGTTTCACTCCAAAACATGGCTCCCTGATACAATGAATATTATGAATTGAAAACCCTTTGAAATCAACAGGCCTTGGAAGAGACTTTGTCTTCATAAGGATTGGATGGAACCACAAGATGAACAATTGCTTTTCCTTTCTTTCCCTGTAATCTTATCATCTATTTCAAGAAAGGAGAGGAAGAACGTAACCAGACCAGCCCTAACCTTTTTACAAAACAATGCCTGTCTCTCTGTTCATTCAACTTCCAAAGAGAACCACAAGTCACTCTCTGTTCACCACCCAACCCCTCTGCAATCCACTCATTCTCCCACGTCTCATTTTTTCCAGTAATCATCTAATGCCCTCAACAGAATTACCTATATTCTTCATCTTCCCCCTTGCCTCTAAGAGGAGGTTATATAAGTGTTTGGACCCCACTGGGAAATTGGGGAATCACTCTGATTCTCTCTGTGTGCATGGTTAAATAAATTTGTATGGTTTTTCTCTTATTAATCTGTCTTACTGTAAGTTGATTTTTCAGTGCACTCTATGAGGGCAAGGGGGAAGCTTCCCCTTTGCCCCAACAAGGTCAAATTGGAAAGAAGCAAAGTGCCACAGGGCTATTCTATGCAATATTTTAACATTAATAATTTGGATAATTATATAGAAAAGCAAGATTATATCTTCTAGTAACAGGAATTTGGAAGGGAGAAGCCAGCATTTTGGATAACAAAGTTCTTGACAGACTGAACAAAGGGCTAAATCACAATGTCATGAAATTTATTAGGAACAAATGCCAAAAAACCACCAGCACAAGTACTAGATGGGGAAGATGTGGCTTCATGGCCCCAAGGGTGGAAAAGACTTGCGAATTGCATCTATACGAGACAAGCTTATATGAGACAATGGTGTGATGTGTGAATCAAGTCCCTAACGCATCTGTTTGGCTGCACTTGTAGTGTACCAAGGCTTAGGATGGTAAGAACTCTGCTCTCACTTTTGCTAGTCAGCCCACTCTTAGATATTACATTCTGTTCGATTGTAGGTAGGCTAACCAAATATAACATTCTAATAAGGACACGTTTGAGAATGAAATTGTTGCTAGTAATAATTAAGCTCAGAAAATAGGCATAAACTAAGACTCCTGGACACATGGGAACGATAGTAGCTAGTTACAAAAGATGTAGAAAAATTGGAGGATATTTGGAGAAGAGGCTCAAGGAAAGGAAGGATCTCAAAGAAACAGACTATGATAAAATGAAAGGGGCGTTCAGCCTGGAGAAGAGTAGCCTGAGGTTTATAAGAAATTTGGGTTTTTTTGAGCTATTCAAAGGCAACATGTGGAAGAGAGATGGGAACTGTGAATTATGGGTCTTGAAGTACAGAGAAAATTATAGCTTCTCAGGGGTAGTGCAGCTCAAGAGGAAGGGAACAAAAAGCTGACCTCCAACCCTAGATGTTACCATTTTATAAAACAAATTTGGAGTACTTAAAAGACACCAAATCTCCAAACCACATTCCCACCCCAATTCCAATTAAATGATGATTATTTTCTGCTGTTCTAACTGTCCCCAGGATGGACCCTATGAAAGACGTTTTGAAAGTCAGCCTAGTTACATCCATCAGTTCCTGTTCACATGCTTACTTATGTCTTCAAAAAAATCCAATAAAATAATTCTTTCTTAATGAAACCCAGCCATTTTTCTTTTAAAAATATTATTTCATTGTCTAAATATACGGTGGTTCTTCTCTCTTTTTAAGGTCTTGATAGCTGGCCTTTATGGAAGTTACACACTCAGGTTTGTGATTCACTGGGTCCCTTCTACAGTTTCACATATGCCTTTTTGAGGGAACTATTTGGACTTGAGAATCTTCTTCAATATTTTCATCTGTAAAGACCAATGCAAATATCATGTTATACTGAAACTAAGACACTAGTGGTTGTAAGATGAACCACTATTATGTGCCAGTAAGAAAGAATAAAATGCTGCCAATTAAACTTTATTCCCAACTTCTTCATAAGTAGAGTATCCAACTCCTCTTAGTCACTTTTCAACTCAGAATTGGCATATTTGTTTCTATTTTTTATGTGATATTGGTATCCATGTCATCAAGAGCACTGAGAATGCAGCATTTTATTTACAAAATACTCTACTATTATCTTTGAGTTTTCTTCTAAGCAACTAACATTTGATCTAGAAGCTTTGATGTTGTTACTTTTTTAATCTATCAGTAGATGACAACAGTAGATTTAATTTTTTTTAGTCAATCAGGATTTGCTTTTTGTTAGTTTGTTGACGGAAACTTTGAGGGGTTGACCAGTTATGCCATCGTGACTAACAGCAAAATTTATACTGCATGGGAATGACACGACATCCCAATGGCACCAGGCCAACAGATGTCTGGGATGTTAAAATGTAAAATATGGCTGTATTAGATTTGACAAGATACAGTAACTCCTTTGGCATATCTGCCTTCTTGTCCTAGGTGATACCCCTACCTGATAATCTGAGCACTGCTTTTCTAGCTGGCTGGGATAACCTTTATTAGCTTTTTTTTTTTACTTTACTTTTTTTTTTTTTTTAGTATCTTCTCAAATGTTCTACTGGGTTGTCCTTATTTCTATATTATGTACAACCTACTCTACTTTGATAATATTCCTAATCTTGTCATTTCAGCTCATTTTCCATTTTATGATCATCAACTAATAGAAAACACCACAAAAATGAAAAGGCAAACCAAGATTTCACATCTCAAAAGAAGACACTTCATCTCTCACTGTTTTTAAGAAGAGCTATACAGCTTTATGGTAAAGAGACAGTTCTTAACCATAGCTGTGAAGAAAAATAATTTGTGGCGATACTTAAAAAGCAGATTACAGTGGGATAACATAAGACCCACTGACTCTGACTCTTGGAATAAAGGGTGAGGCTTTCAAAGAAGCAGGCACTCGTATCTTTCAAAAAGTTCCACAGATTAATGTGACGAGTCATCTAAGTTGCAAACCTCAGGAAGAGAAGGAAACCAGGCATTTTCCAGTTCATCTAGGGACAACTCTATTGCCACATACTAACATAAATTTGAAACAAAGAGGCCTTAAGTCTAAGTGAGCTGCAGAAAACAATCCACATGGACAGATCATGATTGTATTCAAACCATGATATTCACACCATCCTGTACTCAACATGATTCAGCTAAGGGCTGTGAAGGACACTGTGATGATCAGACATGGTAATGGGCATGGTGAGAGCATAGGCAGAAAACAAAGGATGAGATTTCCTTCTTCCAATATCCCAACATCCCAACTGATGCCTGGTCTGAAGAAACAGAGAAAGCGATCTTTTCCTCCCTTCTCCAGCCATAGCTTTCCAGGGCCATTTCAGGGGCAAGATGACCTAGAGCATAATTAAGAAATAGTTCCATGAATATGGAACGTCCTTCAGCCTTAGAGTAGAGGGTGCTACTAATGAGGGCTTACGCTTGGAAAAGATTCAAATCCCTGAACCAAAAGGCTCAAAAGGCCGGTTTACGGCTGTGACAGAGTTCTGACATCCTCTCCTAATCATCTCCATTTTTAGCAAAGGTTCTACTGAATTTTAGATAGACATTAAGTTCCCCCACATTGTCTGGGTAAAGCAGATCATTGGTGATCCTACTCTTAGCTCTATTGCCTTTTAATTGTGGCAGGGAATTCAGAATGCAGCACCCACTCCAAAGCCCAGATCTCCTCTTGCTCACCTTTAGATCCAGGGACCTCTTGCCTATGATCATGGAAGAGTGTAAGACTGATTGGCTCCTGTAACTTCTTTTCCTTCGGGGCCTAAAGCAGAGGCTGGAAGCAAGAACACCAGAAGCAAAAATCATTGCAAATCAGTGCTGATGGCTGAAATAAATATTTATGCTATCATTTTACTTTCGCTACTACGTACTGAACACACACTGTTTGCCAGGCCCTTTATATACAGTCTCATTTATTCCTCACCACAACCTATGTAGACATCGTTGTTCACCCCATTTTACAAAGAGAAAACAGACTCAAGCTAAGCAACACCCCCAAGGTCACAGAACAAGTAAGCACTGGAATTAATTAACAAGATCCAGGAATTAATCTCAGCTCTGATTCCAAAGTCAAAAGTCTCTCAAACATTGGAGGTATTTGAAAAGCAGTGAGGAAAAAATAATATCTATTGGTGGATGGATATCAGGATGAGTAGATGGACAGATATGACAACACAAACATAATAGTGAGTATATTATAGAAGCTAGGAGGTCATTACGTGGGTGTACAATAAACAGTTCTTTAAACTGTTTTGTATGTTTGAAAGAAATTAAAGTTAGGGATAAAGAAGGAAAGTAGTAAGGAATTCAAAGACGTTACCAGTTAAACATTCTTAGAAGCATCTGTCTCATTTTTCACTAATTATGTGTTTTAGAATTTTAAGTTAATTTAGTTTGACAAGTACGTGTTAAGGCTTTATTATGTAAAAGGCACCAAAATACCTGCCAGTCTAGGATGCTAAATTCATGGGAGGTCCTGAAGGTGCACGAGATGGAGCTCATCTGGGGTTTACAAACTACCAGCTGACACTATCATGACCAAAAGCCTGCAATACAAGGCTGACTTGATAATGGGCTATCATGAACTTGTGAGGTGCTGAAGGAGCATGAGGCTGGAAAATAATAGCTGAGAGGTTTGCAGAAGTGTCAGGGAACAGACAGAGTTGAAATTGTGCCATAGAAACTGGGGAAAATGTCAAAAGGACAGGAAGAGGAGCAGTATCTGAAGTAGGAGCACTGGAGCAAAGGCACAGAGGTGGGAGGGTGAAGAACGTACAGGAAAAGAACAGATTGTTGGAAAAGAAGGAAGGAAGCGCTGGGCATTACCCACCAAAATGTGGAACCAACTTTCACCAAAGGAAATGTTTCACAATTATTAGAATTCTCTCAGATTTCACTTTGTTGAGCCTTCGTTTACTTGTCAGTAAAGCAGGAATCCTATCTGGTCTCACAGACACTGTTTGAAGGATTAAACGAGGGAAAGTGGTGAAAGTTCCTGGACAGTGCCAGCCACATGGTCAGCACTCACTAAGCAATGCAAGCTAAGCTATCCCCATGAACCTGGGGCTGCACGTAATCTAACTACATAGCAATAGTCAAGATTTATGTTAGACTGTAACACAAATCTTGAATCGTGAATCGTGTTACAGTTCTAAATTCCAGAAAGGAAGAGCCAAATTGTTTTGTCAGGTATGACTGATTTTTTTAGTAATTTATTGATTGAGTGACTGGTTCTACTTTTGGGTTCAGAACTCAATCAACAAACTCAATTGTACAAGAAGTAAAACTTTATTTTTCTGTAACCGCTTATCTATTTTAAGCCTATCTTCAGGGTTAGAACCTAATTTCCCTCAATTCTGCACCCTCACCCTTTACCCTGGGTTATAGGGGTGTTACACTGTACCAGGGCAATAGGTGGAGGGAATTATCTCTTTCTCTGTGTGATGCTATCTCAGCACCAGCCTTGGCTAATATGACCTTGTTCCCGGTGGGTCTTCCCCACTGAGCTGTTCCCCAGCACGAGACTCCTTCAGACGAGGTACATTTTCTCTCAGCTGTTGCCAAGCCCCTTGTTGGCACAGGACATTTTATTGTACCTCTTTCAGGCCACAGGGGCACCAGAAAACTCTGTGGGTCTTTCATTACTATTCTGATGGGACTTTTGAGCACAGAAGACTCATTCTAACACTTGTGAGCCGTGCTGGGGTACACTCAGTTCTCTGAGGCTGGCTCAGATCATCTGTCTCCTGGACACCACTCAGCCATTTCTTTTCTGAGGTTTTGCAGTCTTCTTGAGCTCTGCTTGGAGGTGATGACAACCCCAATCCATCTTCAACTCTGTCACCCACAACCTTGTCCTCTGGGGAGCAGGGTGTAGAGTCTTTTTCTCAGAGGAGCAAGGAGCCACCAGCATCTAAGAGCTGTCTCTGCTTCCCCTTCCCCCTCTGCCTTCCCTTCCCACCTCCCCACCTCCCCACCAGCATGTAACAGCTCCCTTTTCTTCCCAGCTGGAGCACTGTCCTCACAACACACCTGGAAAACTCTAGGTTTTACAAGGGCTGGGAAGCCTTGCATCAATTCAGCCTAGTGTCTCTATCCCAAGTGACTTCAGGGTCCTGACTTTGGAAAATCAAAAGCCTATTTTTCCTGCCCTCTGGTGAAACTTCTTTTTCCTGGTAAAATAAATGATACCTAAGTGGGCTTGAGGGAGGAAGCAGAGGCAACAGGAGCTGCTGGAAGAGGAAAATCAGTTAATAGATTTAAAATATTATTTTGCCAGTGTTCTCCTCATCCCTTTAAATTGACTTCATCCCTTGAGCCAGGTGGGACATTTTTCCTCCTAGGTCTTATGTCTCAGAATTTCAGTTCCAGGTGACCTGCTGTAGACCGGGCTGGCATGACCCTAGGTGGCCCTAATACTTAAAGAAGATGAATCACACTTCTTGAAAGCTGCCTCAGTCTTAGAGTTATGGCTGGCTTCCTGGAGGTTTCTTCAAGAAATTCAGCCGATGACTCCCCAAGCTGCTAATCACCAAAGTGCATGATACTTTAGAAATAACACTTGATTTGTATTAGCTGTATGGCTGGTGTACCTGCTGCGTAGTCTTTGAAAAATTATAACACAAGATCCTTTAGCTGGGACTATGTGTTTCAAAAGCTTCACATGCTAATAATCACAACAGGGAATTAAGCATTTCTCATACTGTGACCTGTTCATGCGCAGCTTCTTTCTTGCCTTGCTGGTGGGATTTCTGCTCCTCCTCATCCTTTAAGGCGTGTCGTTAGCTTGATATTGGAGTCATTTATTTGGGTTCAGTTACCCTCTCTGGTTCATATGATAGTCTTCTACATCAAGCTCAGGGCCTGAAAGAGAAGTAACTTGTCAGTTAAAAAAAAGGCTCAAAACCAAAGATCAAGATGTTTGAGGGAAAAAAAAAAAAAAAACCAACAACATTAACTTGGTTCTTCACTAATTACTTACCCCAAACAAGACCCTGAAGAGTTTCATTTCTAAAACATAACTCTCTTTATTAAGAAGACGCCAGTTGAAGTCAATAAGTACCCATAGGGCCTATCTCTCACCATGAAACTGTACCGGTAAGGGGCAGAAAAGTCTCTCTCCATTAAGCACCAAGAAACTTTCATTGTCACAATTAAAGTCCTCTCTTGTGGCCACGGATTTATCAGCAAACTTGTTTGTAATGATGATCTTATGAACGGTGTTTGGGAAAAATAAATCACTTCCTCTTGCTAACAAATTGCTCTAATTGCTTCACAACGGCAGAATTTCTGCTGAAATGAACCTTCCCTGGGCCAATAATAATATTCCCAGAGAAAAATGAGAGAAGTGAGGGGCTGAAGTGGGATGGGGCCCATATTTCCAGCATCTGCAGGGAAACAGCAACATACGGCTTCATCACCTTGCCTATATTCTTCGACAATCCCTAGAAGAGATGCTGACCTCACATGAGCTGAGTTTTTGTACATCTTCACCCATTCAAAGAGTTATATATTAATTATTCAGTTGAACTTTTATTATTTAATCAACAATTATATAAATGCCCAAGATTTGGTGTTTTATCAATGACCACCTTTGTCTTCTTACTTCCGTACAAATCACACAGAAATTTCTCTCCCAGCATGCTCCCTCAAAATAAAGCATATGCTTAAAAAAAATCACCTCACCAGACTTTTTCCAAGAAGCACATACAGTACTTTTTATTCAAAGCAACATGCAGACCTGTGAAACATTTTTTGTTTTACCTTCCCAGAAGACTTCAATAAAGCAAAGGGAACTCATACGCCTCACCCCGTCTGCCTGACTTAAAGTAGTATGAGGCAAGATTCATCCACATGTAGAGTTAAACAATGAAATTTTCCAAGTATATACATGCTGTGAGAATCAATAACCTCTTCTCAAACCAGCAAATTGGTTTCAAGTACTCGGTTCACTGGTTATATACAACATCCACAATAAGAGGCCACCTCCCGAGCGAAAGGGAAGGTGAAGATGAATTCTTGAAAAGCTTCTGTAGAAATAACATAGTTCAATTAAGGTTGTAGAATATACCCAAATGAAAAATATAAGAATATTCACATGAAGAAAATTAATCTAGTGCTCAGAAGACCAGAATATATGTACTCCAGGGGCGGGAACCAGGAAATATAGATAAAAGTTGCTTTTTGAGATCTTTCTTGCCATAAGCCTGAATGCTTCATGCTCCCAAAGTATCCAATTATGGAAACATAAATTACCTCATCCTCAGTTTCACTTTAAAACACAATAAACAGGTTACATTTTCAAGTACTATTAAGTTGCTTATACAAATTTAAAGTCATGAGCATGACTTCAGGATCTGTGCTTTCTACGTCAAAGTGCTCCTCTTTGTTGGAATTTTAACAATAAAGTTTTCTTCAGAGTACTGTGTAGTATATCATTTCATGAAAATAACTCATGGCATAATTTGATATTTTCTGGATCTTAGATTTCTCTTAATTTTGCAGTCAGGCTATTCTTTCTAAAATAAAACTGGTACTATTTAGAATGGTTTGCATGAAGCAATTGGTGTTTCTCCTGAGCTATGTTCTGGGAATATTTGTCAGAAAATCTGGCCATTGAAAGTAGAATTGTCTGTGTCCTTCATTCCCAGGCAAATAACCTGTGTTTTATCTTTTCTGCCTTCCTTCCTTCTCATTCCCTGAGGCCATCCACCCTTCCCTCAGCAATGCATGTGTGCCATCAAACTGCCTTTCCTCACATGCTCTCAGAGGGCTTCTGCACCAATCCTTCTGCCCTTAGAATCTTCTTTTCTTTTCTTCCTCTTGACATGGAATGTTAACACAGAAATTCTTGCACAAAATATGGCTACCTTTATAGTCTAGATAAAAGAAAAATCTTCCTCTATCATGGTAACTTGTATTTTCTTTCTTTTAAAAAAAATTTGGGGGGCTTGTTTGTTGTTTGCTAGGTTTTCTTTTTTCCAGTTCTGGGATACATGTGCAGGGTACGCAGGTTTGTTACATAGGTAAATGTGCGCCATGGTGGTTTGCTGCATCTATTAGCCCATCACCTAGGTATTAAGCCCAGCATGCGTTAGCTATTTTTCCTGATGCCCTCCCTCCTGCTGTCATGCCACAACAGGCCCTGGTGTGTGTTGTTCCCCTCCCTGTGGCCATGTGCTATCATTCAGCCCTCACTTATAAGTGAGAAAATATGGTGTTTGGTTTTCTGTTCCAGTGTTAGTTTGCTGAGGATGATGGCTTCCAGCCCTATCTATGTCCCTGCAAAGGACATGATCTCATTCCTTTTTATGGCTGCGAAGTATTCCATGGTGTACATGTACCACATTATTTTTATCCAGTCTATCATTGATGGGCATTTTGGTTGGTTAACGGGATCTAATTAAATGGCTTCAATGATGGGCAATTTGGGTTGATTCCACGTCTTTGCTACTGTGACTAGTGCTGCAGTGAACATATGTGTGAATGTATCTTCATAACAGAATGATTTATATTCCTTTGCGTATATACCTATTAACGGGATTGCTGGGTCAAATGGTATTTCTGGTTCTAGATCTTTGAGGAATTGCCACGCTGTTTTCCACAGTGGTTGAACTAATTTACATTCCCACCAACAGTGTAAAAGCATTCCTATTTCCTTGCAACCTCACCAGCATCTGTTGTTTCTCGACTTTTAATAATCACCACTCTGACTGGTGTGAGATGGTATCCCATTGTGGTTTTGATTTGCATTTCTCTAATGATCAGTGTTGTTGAGCTTTTTTCATATTTGTTGGTTGCATAAATGTCTTATTTTAAGAATTGTCTGTTCATGTCCTTTGCCCACTTTTTAATGGGGTTGTTCGTTTCTTTCTTGTAAATTTGTTTAAGTTTCTTGTTGACTCTGGATATTAGACCTTTGTCAGATGGGTAGATTGGAAAAAATTTCTCCCATTCTGCAGGATGTCTGTTCACTCTGATGACAGAAGCTCTTTAGTTTAATTAGATCCCATTTGTCAAATTTTTGCTTTTGGTGCAATTGCTTTCAGCAATTTTGTCATAAAATCTTTGCCAGCGCCTATATCCTGAATTATATTGCCTTGATTTTCTTCTAGGATTTTTATAGTTTTGAGTTTTACATTTAAGTCTTTAATCCATCTTGAATTAATTTTTGTATAAGGTGTAAGGAAGGGGTCCAGTTTCAATTTTCTGCATGTGGCTAGCCAGTTCTCCCAGCACCATCTGTTAAATAATGAATCCTTTCCCTATTGCTTGTTTTTGCCAGGTTTGTGAAAGATCAGATGGCTGTAGATGTGGGGTCTTACTTCTGAGATCTCTATCCTATTCCACTGGTGTATGTGTCTGTTTTTGTACCAGTACCATGCTGTTTTGGTTACTGTACCCTGTAGTACAGTTTCAAGTCAGGTAGTGTGATGCCAGCTTTGTTCTTTTTGCTTAAAATTGTCTTGGCTATACAGGCTCTTTTTTGGTTCCATATAAACTTTTAAAGTAATTTTTTTCTAATTCTGTGAAGAATGTCAGTGGTAGTTTAATGGGAATAGAATTGAATCTATAAATTACTTTGGGCAGTGTTTTCTGCTGAAGCGCACGTACTTTCAAAGTGACATATACAGAAGAAAAGGAAAAGGGACCTATCCTAGCCAACCACATCACAGTGCTCATGAGCAACTTCTTCCTTTGAATGGTCCCTGGGCTCTCCTCCATTCGCATCACTCTGGCCCATCACACATTCACTACTAGAATTGCAAACCTCAGAACATGACTTGATGGCATCTTTCATCCATGGAGCTCTGGGAATTGCTAGTAATTGGAATTCTCATTCCCTTCATACCCTCCAAGTTCTTCTCAAAGGTCACAGGGGCTTAGTAAATTTGGGGGCTTAAAAGTATTCTTTTGGGGACATCATCCATTCAACAGGTCTTTATGGATTGACCTAGAAGTACTACTAACACTAATTATATTTTATTTACTGATAACCTTATTCCACTATTTGTTAAAGCAATTTTAGCATTATTAATAGGATTGTTGATGACAAGCCTAGCACCTAAGAAAAACTGTGAGTTAGAACCAACTGAATTATACACTTAATCTTTGATAAAGAGTATTTAATTTGAAGCCTCCTCCTTGTCTATTTGCTTGCTTTTCATACTTTTTACCTTTCTGTATATTTATTTATTCAACAAATATTTGATGATCCCCTGCTATGCATTCTGTTAGGTGCTGTGACTTAAACAATAGGCTAAAGCAGAGAGCTCCTGCCCTTGTGCAGCTTCTAGTCTAGTCTAGTAGACAGACAACCAAATACGGAGGGAGATGGGAATAAAACTGCTACAATAACAAATGCCAAAAAGGATGGGTACACAGTGCTGTGCTAGGAACAATCAGTCTAGTCAGAGCGGCCAAAGAAAGCTGAGTAAAGGTGGCAGAAAAGAATGTTCCAGGGGGAAGAACATGTGCAAAAGTCCCACAGCAAAGACAGCTTGGCAAGACAAGGGTCTGAGGAGAAGTTGATGTTGGCTGGGTGCGGTGGCTCATGCACATAATCCCAGCACTTTGGGAGGCCAAAGTGGGTGGATTGCTTGAGCCAAAGAGTTCAAGGCTAGCCTTGGCAACATAGTGAGATTCTATCTCTACCAAAAAAAAAGAAATTAGCCAAGCATGGTGGCACACGCCTGTGGTCCCAGCTACTTAAGAAGCTAAGGTGAGAAAATTGCTTGATTCTGGGAAGTTGAGGCTGCAGTGGGCCATGATCACACCAGCCTGGGCGACAGAGAGACCCTGTCTAAAAAGAAAAAAGAAAGCTGATGTCAGGAACATATACAAGCAGAGGCGTAGGGTGCATG